AGATATAGCAGCATCAATATTTCATGTTGATGGCCATGGCAGCATCAAAATACAATCAAAACAGATTCATAAGTCTTTTTACATACCACATACCTACAGTATGATGTGTATCAAATTTCATAACACGAGGCAAAAATGGCTGGAGTAATGGTTCTGAAAATAGTAATGGTTATGAAAATATTTCAATATGGCCACCATAATGTCTAAGACTGGATTTAAATTCTGAGGCATAGCTGGAATCAACAATGCAAAGTATTTATAAAAGGTAAAGGATTAAGATGAACATGTTGACTTCAGATACTGTGTCACCACACAAGCTAATTTGAACTTTCAGTTCTTGAAAGCTAAAATCATGCCAATTGAATTATCTTATAAACCAATTCAAAATTACACACTTCAGTTCATGTTCACATTTTCTATTACAGATGTGACGTTATAAAGGGAAGGAAAAGTTGAGGAATTTTTTCTAAACTCTTTTCTGCATTAAACCAGCAACAACTCAACAAGATGACTGTTGTAGTTTCTCGTGTTATCAGTTAGGTGACTTCTAAACCAGAAAAGCCATAATGTCCATATCATCATAACTATTACTGTTTATAAGTAATCAATACATTTATATGATAACAGGTACTTTTACATCAAAAGCATAAAAGCCGGAATAACGTCAATTTCATGAAATCCGAAATGAATATGAAAGTTAATGACTCTTTTATCAGTCACTGTCAAACAGAAACATATGACAACACCAGAATGTCCCACATACCTCCAGAAATGTGACACGTCTAATAGAACTTGTCATTCATAATTGATCATTCATTGGAATGCATTGAAATTGAGAACAGTGTGGAAAAACCTGTTAGTATCAGTGATTTTCAAGCAACAAGGATGTATTTGTTCTACTGACACTGGTTGAATGAATTACTTAGTCATGGCTTCATACGCTATCATGGATTAAGTCGATGATCAATATTGTCTTGCTGTAATTACCTTATCTACTGACTGAAGGAATTATCCTTATCCTACAAGCACGCTCAAAACAACCGACACGTCTGACGACAAATCTACCTAATTAGTTTATCCACGAAAATACTCATACAATATTAAAACCGAATCATCTTGTTTTCTATGGCTTCTTGGTGTCAAGAATACACATTTCTCACATATTGTTGACGAAGTTTGTGAATGCAACATATATGATCAATAGATCGGTCATCGAACAAAGAAACAACTCACCGACAGGCTTCAATGATGATGTTATATAGTGCTTAGACTATTGCAGCCCATACCATGACACACACTAACTCCTTTTGCTAAGATCACTTCATGCACATTGGCCCATGACAGGCAACAGCAGACATATAAATAATATTCATTGATTTTTTAATTTTGTATCAGAACAGGATCAGTATACGTTATCACTCTCCAAATATAATAATCAAGTGGTGTATTTTCTTTATAAGGTAAAATGTGAGATCTTGACAGGACAGCATACACTTCAAGTGGGTTTATAAAAAGTAAAACATGAGAGCCTCACAAGACAGTATATACTTCAAGTGGGCTTATACAGGGTTCACTCTAGGAATTTTCTAAAATGGGCCCTTTATGTGTAAATTTCAAATATTCCAGAGGTACACCAATACAGCACAATGATAAAATGGCCAATTGTATTTGAAAATGTGGGTTTTTTTCAAATTTAGGGGCTAAAAGCACAAGGACCAACCCTAGAATTATCCCTGCTTATATAAAGTAAAACATGAGAGCCAGACAGGATGGTGTATACTTCATGTGGGCGTATATGAAGTAAAACATGAGAGCCAGATGGGATGGTATATACTTCATGTGGGCGTATATGAAGTAAAACATGAGAGCCAGACAGGATGGTATATACTTCATGTGGGCGTATATGAAGTAAAACATGAGAGCCAGACAGGATGGTGTATACTTCAAGTGGGCTTATATAAAGTAAAACATGAGAGCCAGACAGGATGGTGTATACTTCATGTGGGCGTATATGAAGTAAAACATGAGAGCCAGACAGGATGGTGTATACTTCATGTGGGCGTATATGAAGTAAAACATGAGAGCCAGACAGGATGGTATATACTTCATGTGGGCGTATATGAAGTTAAACATGAGAGCCAGACAGGATGGTGTATACTTCATGTGGGCGTATATGAAGTAAAACATGAGAGCCAGATGGGATGGTATATACTTCATGTGGGCGTATATGAAGTAAAACATGAGAGCCAGATGGGATGGTATATACTTCATGTGGGCGTATATGTAGTAAAACATGAGAACCAGACAGGATGGTATATACTTCAAGTGGGCTTATATAAAGTAAAACATGAGAGCCAGACAGGATGGTATATACTTCAAGTGGGCTTATATAAAGTAAAACATGAGAGCCAGACAGGATGGTATATACTTCATGTGGGCGTATATGAAGTAAAACATGAGAGCCAGACAGGATGGTGTATACTTCATGTGGGCGTATATGAAGTAAAACATGAGAGCCAGACAGGATGGTGTATACTTCATGTGGGCGTATATGAAGTAAAACATGAGAGCCAGACAGGATGGTATATACTTCATGTGGGCGTATATGAAGTAAAACATGAGAGCCAGACAGGATGGTGTATACTTCATGTGGGCGTATATGAAGTAAAACATGAGAGCCAGATGGGATGGTATATACTTCATGTGGGCGTATATGAAGTAAAACATGAGAGCCAGACAGGATGGTATATACTTCATGTGGGCGTATATGAAGTAAAACATGAGAGCCAGATGGGACGGTATATACTTCATGTGGGCGTATATGTAGTAAAACATGAGAACCAGACAGGATGGTATATACTTCAAGTGGGCTTATATAAAGTAAAACATGAGAGCCAGACAGGATGGTATATACTTCAAGTGGGCTTATATAAAGTAAAACATGAGAGCCAGATGGGACAGTAATATATAAGGAAAAACATGGAAGCATGACAGGACACCAACTAGTTCCAGTGGGCTTATATATATGGTATACACACCTCAATTTGACATCAATACAATTTGATCTGGCAGACCAGAACACTTGAAGTAGAAGGTGTACAAATTAAAGGTCATTGTATTGAGTCATTTCTAGATTTCACCAAACACTACACATGCATAATCCAGAGGTTACACTGAACCTACACTGTGACTCACAGATTTCAGATGGTTGTTTGAAATATGTTACTCATGCTGGATGAGATCAATCTGAGACATGCTCTCCAGTGAAAAGTACTGATCAAAGGGTATGGTATCTTTATTTATCATATCTGATAGGCTCCCTGGAATGGTACTTCAAGTTCATCATTATCAAGAGATAACATGTTAACATCCATGGGGCAAGTAGGTATGCACTTATTTGTCAGGCCAATCTCTAAAGTGCAGGCCAAAATGATAAAACTTCATAACCAAGTGATAGAGCATTTTTGACTGAAGTCTTTTCATTGTCAACACATATCAAGGACTGTGTTCATCCTCTCGAACTACAAAGAGTGTGGTATGAACCCTTGTACAACAATTGGCACCCTACTATTACAACATGCACTTCTAGACTCTCTTACAAGTGACACACCCCTTCTAGTATCTGTACAAGTGACACACACCTTCTAGGCTCTGTACAAGTGACACACCTTCCAGTATCTGTACAAGTGACACACCCCTTCTAGGCTCTGTACAAGTGACACACCCCTTCAAGTATCTGTACAAGTGACACACCCCTTCTAGGCTACGTACAAGTGACACACCCCTTCTAGGCTATGTACAAGTGACACACCCCTTCTAGGCTATGTAAATGTGACACACCCCTTCTAGTATCTGTACAAGTGACACACCCCTTCTAGGCTCTGGAAATGTGACACACCCCTTCTAGATTTTGTACAAGTGACACACCCCTTCTTGGCTCTTTACATGTGACACACCCCTTCCAGTATCTGTACAAGTGACACACACCTTCTAGGCTATGTACAAATGACACACCCTTTCTAGGCTCTGTACATGTGACACACCCTCTCTTGGTTCTGTACTAGTGACACACCCCTTCTAGTATCTGTACAAGTGACACACCCCTTCTAGGCTATGTACAAGTGACACACCCTTTCTAGGCTATGTACAAGTGACACACCCCTTCTTTGCTATGTAAATGTGACACACCCCTTCTAGTATCTGTACAAGTGACACACCCCTTCTAGGCTCTGTACATGTGACACACCCCTTCTAGGTTTTGTACAAGTGACACACCCCTTCTAGGCTCTTTACATGTGACACACCCCTTCCAGTATCTGTACAAGTGACACACACCTTCTAGGCTATGTACAAATGACACACCCTTTCTAGGCTCTGTACATGTGACACACCCTCTCTAGGTTCTGTACTAGTGACACACCCCTTCTAGGCTCTGTACAAGTGACACACCCTTTCTAGGCCATGTACAAGTGACACACCCTTTCTAGGCTATGTACATGTGACACACCCCTTCTAGTATATGTACAAGTGACACACCCCTTCTAGGCTCTGTACATGTGACACACCCCTTCTAGACCGTACAAATGACACACTTTAACATATGTCCATCTATATATCCACATCAAACAGATGCAAATTGTCTCCCTGATTAAATAAATCTACAAATACATTTGACAGCTGCTGCTTTCAAACCTGACCATTTATTCCATACCTCTTACATAAATCAATCAACAGTGTTTAAGAACACTCTTCCATCCAAACCCAATTGCATCTCAATTTACATCAGCAAAATAACCTCATTCACTATATTTCCATTGAACCTCAAATCCAGACTTGGTCTTTAAATTGAAATCAGGGGCACAAGCTGTTAAAATCAATAGACGACACAAATCCACAGCTTGAAGTTGGTTATTGACAAATTCCATTTCCAGGCAAATTCAAAAGTAACAAATTCATTAATATAACCCGACACTATACAAGAAACAAACACTGCCACCTACCACAATCTGGAGCAAGACCTCTGATGATCCTAGGTTAAGGAAATCCCCTCAAGTGTCTGGTTATATTTCCCACAGAAAATATCACACCAGTGCCTGTCAACAGAAGGATGAATGTAAAATATCAAATTGCATTCAACATTAGCTTTTAGAATGTCCAGGGTGTTGGGTCCCTTTAGACAAAGACATATACATGCAGGGTACTGCAGGCTATTTATAAAACAATACAGTAAAGCGGAAATTACCAAGCACCCATGAAGATTTATTGTCACAGGAATCAATAAGAAACATATAAATTTCAAGAAACTTGGCTTGGCAAAGCTGTGATTTGGCCCTGATTTGTTTTGGTACAAAGAGAGTAATTTGTTATCAGCAATAGGAACAGTGGCTCACAAAGCAATGGAAAATGGAAAAGAATTTAAATCTATTGGTTTAAATCGTGAAATATTTGTCAGTTACAGCCATGCGAAGTGGAAATTTAGTTTTGGAAGAACATTTCAAACAAGTTGAAAACAAAACATTGAAAGTTTGAAATGCAAATTCTAGCTGACAGAGCATCGTACCTTTATACCTCTCATATTTATTCATATTTCATATTCTTATTCTAAAAAACAATCCACCTTTCATAAATAATGCAGCAATCCATTTCATGTCGAAAACACTCGCATCAAACTGACACTAGTTAAACACGACCAAGTGTCTTTGTCATTAGGAAATCCCATAAACATGGACTTGCTATCACATTTCATATTTTCTTTAATATATATCTTGAAATATCAAACATCTATAATTAAACACGTTTCGAAATCGGTGAATATGCCACACCCTCTCTGCAGCAGAGGTTCACACTAAGATGAATACCAAACTGTCAGTAAGTGCAAGGACTTGCAAGAACATCATGTAGAGAGGTCTTTGGTGCATGCAAACAAACTATGTGAGTGATGATAATTTCTTGCGTATTAGGTGATGTTTGCCATATCCCAGGGGGCAGTGTTCCACGTGGGTGCTGCTGTCTCCTGCAGCTGTACATGTGACGTCCATACGCTGCACTGTACCACACTGTGACTACCAATTACTAATGGTATTTGCTTAGACTGATTTGAAGCCAAGAAGCATGACCACACTGCCATCAATTATTGCTGTAATTAGAATGATGGGAAGAACTTGACAGTCATTATGTTTATTACGCAGGTGCAAGGCCTACTGACACACACCCTTACAATAGTATGGACCATAAAGCAGTGTTTTTATGGAATTAATAATTAAAACTTTCTTTCTGCAACATTATGACATATACATTAAGGAAAATGACTTCTGTTTCTGTGGTGAGTGAGTTGCTATAGTTTTACTGTGCTTTTTGCACTATTCCAGCATACCACGGTGGTGGAGTGTCCAGAAAGGGCTTCACACATTGGCTTCACCATGCTCCAGATGAGGTCAGTAAAACAATTCCGAGTTGGGGACACGCCACTATATCATGTATATTTCAGCATTATCACGGCAAGGGGGCAGCAGAAATTTCCTTCTCATACATTACCCATGCATGGAATCAAACTTGACTTTAACTACTAGGCCATTCCACTGTTACAGAAAAATTTGGAAAGTCAGTTGTGGAGGTCATCTCAATGCTGCCACACAATGGATAAAGGTGGTGTCTTTGCTTTGTACCCACTTGGATGACTGGACAAAACTAAGCTGTGCTTCACAGCAGTTTTAGTATATTCCTGGCATATTACATTTGGGGTACCAAATTTGGTCTTCAAACATTGTCCCATTGTCGGGAATCAAACCCACATATTTCGGATGACAAGCCAAGGCATGAACCACCATGCTACCCTAGCCAACAAGACCACTCATGAAGCATGACTGCATCTGTGTGTCGCCATACCCACACAGAACGGACTGATCCTCTTTCTTACAGAAATGCCTTGTGTCCCTCATTTCCTTAAAAGATCCAATTGTTACATCAGTATTTGTTCTCATAAACTGTATCAAAATTGAATAGTACTTATTATTCATATCTACATGAAGAAGCATTATTGCAAGTTATTTATGAAATCTGATCCTAAAGATGTCTGATGGTCTTTCATATGAATGAAAGGTTCAATCATCACAATTAGAACTGAAGCAGAATGGCCATATTAAAGATTTTTTCCCCATTTGGGCAGAATATGGGCAATCTGGATCCCCTGTACAAGCCTGCAAATTAGTGGGCAAAATAGCAGACCTGTAATTAGTGATAACATACTGCCGAATTAGCCATGATGGCGTCGACTGGTCACAGCTGGATATAAACCACTATCTTCTGACGTCTGTGGAACGCCATCGTTAATGGCTGAATCATGACCCACAGAATTTTGATCAACTAAGCTTCTATGTAATGTTTTGTTTGCTTTTTTATGCTGCAGTCAGCAGTACTCAAGTCATATGACAGCCTCTAGTAAATAATAGAGCTCAGGCCAGACAAGCAGGTGGTTGATATTATGAGCATCACACAATATCTGAACCTCACAAGCAGTAGAGTGCTGGGGACCTATTCCAACCATATGCATGAAAATACAGTGTCAGTTTACACAGGTGAGGGAGACTGCAGTCTGGTATAAGGGAGGGTGATACATTCTAATAGCATTGTTGGAGTTATATGATCATGACTGAGAATCATCCCCATTAACCATCAACTAAACTGTTGCTTAAAGTGCTGTCGGAAATGCTAGAAAAATGTTTTGATAGCATACATCAAAATAACGCAAATCTACCAACTTAAGCCTCATAATTCTCAGTGATATTCTGGCCTTAAAAGGAACTTTTACAGGTAAGATGATGATAAACATAGAAATTATTCTATGCATGTATGAAACAGCCTATAGCCTGAAGTAATTACCTAACACCTGTCCTGAGGTGAAGACCTCACACCGGCCGTGCATACCCGAGTTGAGGTGGTCTCAACATATTTCTGTTATTGTACTTTCCCTATACAGTTAATACACCCTAATTAAACTAATAAATGGTTTCTCTCTGTCTCTCTCGAGTGTAAAGAACTCGAATATATTTCCTCCTACAGACCCCATGTCGAGTACCATGGTTTAATGGCTAGGCAAGTGTAATGCAACATTCATCATGGGAGCACTACTGAAACGAAAAATGCAGCGTAATTTTGATATTTTATAAGATGCATATATAGAATTTTCTCCAAATGACTTGTCCTTTTGTGGATTAGATGTTTTATGGTTATTATTAAACGGAGTAACATGGGCATATTTCTATAGTCCGTTTCCAAACTTCCCTCATTGGACTTTTTGTTTTTGTTCAAATTTTCCTCCTGTAAAATTGTCGATAGAACTCCTCGTGACTGGAATACTTCAAACGACAGGTAGGTAGATCGGTAGGTACTTGATATTTCAAAAGCAAAAGTGTGTGAGTAATTCTATCCATTTTTAATGGGCAAAAAGCATTTTTCTAACATTTCTGACAGTTCTTTAATTGTATATTTCAGTTACATCGAGGCATGTCAGGTTAAAGTGAAGACAAGTGTGATGTACGTTTACAACTCTGGCAAAGCCTACAAGCACAGGTCATGGTGCTCTCCAACACAGAATAATGATCAGGGTGATAAGAGACTCAAACTCCATGGTAAAGTGGATAAGGGATTATTTCATCATCAGTATGAAAATAAATATTTTGATTATCTCAATGAAGCACTGAAATACTTAAAAATGCTTAACCATGGTTGGATATTCTTTGAATCAAAGTACCAATGGCATATTAAAATAAGTTCCTGCGACCTAAGCACACACTAAGAAATCACATTTAAAAAAAATAGTTCCTTGTAATGATGCGTATTAATTAAAGCCAGCGAGAAATGTACTTCTCACAAGCAAACTGGACACACATGTGAACATGCTCAATGGACAGGTTTTTAAATGTTTCTTTGAAATATATTATTCTTGTTGGCACACTTCAATTCTAAAGGTCATACATGAATGTCTTTATCAGTGCCAAGTGACACACTTACAGAAACAGCATATTTCTACCCGTGTAGACTCAAGCACATCATAGAAATTATAGGATAGATGTATTGCACAAGAAACAAAACTTTGTATTATACTTGACTATATATACACAACACACTTCCTATCAGCATAGAAAAAGTCGATTTCATGACATTCAGGAACAGTATTTTCAAATGTCTTCTCTCTTCTGAAGAATAATGAACAAAAACCGTTCAACTCTAACTGTGACATTTAAAGTAATAAAACACAAATAAGGAAATATATGCCTACTTGCATGGTTTGAAAGTGTGTTATCACATGTGCATGGGTAGCGTGTGGGTAGCATATGGGTAGTGCATGGGTAGTGTATATGTAGTGCATGGGTAGTGTATGTGTAGTGCATGGGTAGTGTATGTGTAGTGCATGGGTAGTGCTTGGGTAGTGCATGGGTTGTGTATATGTAGTGCATGGGTTGTGTATGTGTAGTGCATGGGTAGTGTATGTGTAGTGCATGGGTAGTGTATATGTAGTGCATGGGTAGTGCTTGGGTTGTGTATGGGTAGTGCATGGGTAGTGCATGGGTTGTGTATATGTAGTGCATGGGTTGTGTAGGGGTAGTGCATGGGTAGTGTATATGTAGTGCATGGGTAGTGTATGTGTAGTGCATGGGTAGTGCATGGGTTGTGTATATGTAGTGTATGTGTAGTGCATGGGTTGTGCATGTGTAGTGTATGTGTAGTGCTTGGGTAGTGCATGGGTAGTGTATGTGTAGTGCATGGGTAGTGCATTGGGTAGTGCATGGGTAGTGCATGGGTTGTGTATATGTAGTGTATGTGTAGTGCATGGGTTGTGCATGTGTAGTGCTTGGGTAGTGCATGGGTAGTGTATATGTAGTGCATGGGTAGTGCTTGGGTTGTGTATGTGTAGTGCATGTGTAGTGTAAGTGTAGTGCTTGGGTAGTGCATGGGTATTGCACAAGAAACAAAACTTTGTATTATACTTTGACTATACAACCACAACACACTTCCTATCAGCATAGAAAAGTCGATTCCATGACATTGAGGAACAGCATTTTCAAATGTCTTCTCTCTTCTGAAGAATAATGAA